TGATGGAACTAGGTGAGGAGATTGATGTTCCTCCACTTTGCTCCATGCTTAGGACCGAAGATGCTTTTGAGGTTATGACTCCAAAGACTCTTTGAAGCTCCTTGAAGTGTTCTTCAATGGAGGGGAAGCCTTGAAGTGGTTCGGTTACTCCTTAGCTTGGGGTAGAAGCTTAAGGAACCAAGGAAGGTTGGAGAACCTTTGGAGAGAACTTAGGAGAGAAAGTTCTCTTCAGTTTTGAGGAAGACTCTTGAGAGAGAAATCTGATGTTTATTTCTCATATATGTCAAAAGTGAGTACAAGAGTAGGAAAATCAAATATATAGAGAAAAGGTAGCTTCTAGGAGAAGCTAACCTTAACCATGGTTAACTAGGAACCATGGTAAGGTTTACTTAACTCCCTACGGTTTACCTTACTTGAACTTCAAAACTCAAGAAGAACAACTAGAAATTTCGGCCAAGGAGACTTAAGAGAGCTAGGCGGCCTTGAACATATTTTGCTCCTTGAATTAATTTGAAAAAACTTGATTTGGTTTAGTTAGGTTCATCATATGATGATGAGACCTAGCTAAATCAAATCTATGAAAAATTAGGAGCAAAATGAGTCCAATTTGCAAAATTTAGCCTAGGCCCAACTCAGGCCCAATTTCTAGTCACACCTCAACCATTGCTAAATGTCACCCCCTTTTCCCTACTGAAAAAATACAAAATGAATGTATCAACTAGGGAGGTTAAATGGAGTTAAACTCTCCAAGTAACCTACCTCAAAAACACTATACAAACATTAAGAAAAGCAAATAAAGTGCCTCACAAATACAAAGGCAAAAATAACCTATACAAAAGACTATGTATAAACTGTACACTGTATACAAGTAGAACTAGGCCTTCTCTTCATGATAGAGCATTCCAAGAGAAGATTACCTTGGGCTTGACAAGCCCACTAGTCTTCTCATGGTCCATCTCTTCCTGTATTCTTCTAGCCATAGCTCTGGTCACTGGGCCCTTGGCCCATGATCTATCAAGTGCCTGGCCGACTTCGTAGTCGAGCTCACGCCTACCACTGCCGAGGAACCTCAGGTGTGGACCTTACATGTGGGCGGATCCTCCAACTCTAAGGGTGGTGGTGCTGGCATCATATTGGAGGGACCAAACCAAGTCACTCTGGAACAATCCCTT